TAAATCAGACTGGAAAACCACCATGGGATACCTTACAACGAGAAGCCACCCACTGTCATGGAGTCGATTCCAGCTCAGTGACCAATCCGACAGGGCACAACTGCCCACCTTTGGGCTTTGGAGGCTGCGAATCTTTACAAGAGCAGAAAGCCTCCTCGTTCTCCCACGGCACAGCTGGTGATTTCTAAACTACGGACCCTGAATTTGAGCAGCCCAAGACCTATCCCGGCAAGGCTACTTTACTGTGGGAAGCTCTTGCTGCGTTTAATGCCAGCAGACACAGCCCATGCTCTCCAGCACAGACCACAGTGAACACTCTGATGGGAGAGAGCTGGCTTTTCCCTCTATTGTTTCTTATTTGCTTTCTAACGATCCTTTGCTTACCCTTTGTGTATGAGGATTTTCAGGTTCCTGCCAACCGCCACTAGCTGCAAAACAAAGAAATATCGAGAAGTTTCACATCTAATCAATTATTTTTATAAACTCAAGCCTTCCGCAGGCCACAAAATGAAGCTATAATGCATAAAATCACAGAACTTCTACAAAAACAAACAGATTAGACATTATCTAGATAAAAAGTATGTAGGTAACACACACGAGTGGGCTTCAGAAAGTTCATGGAAAAATGGAATGAAAAGATAATGGAATTTTCCCATAAACTTTTTTCAGCATCATCTTCCATACGTAAATGGATGTATATTGACCTAAGAAGATTATCATACCACTACACTGTGTTGCCCTGCGAGGTCAGTGTGAAGGGTCAGATGAGGGATGTGAAGGGGGATGGGGTAAGGGCTTCTAACCCTCTGAGAACAGTCCTGGCTACCTCTGAAGAATAAGCAGGGGCACTGTCGTGATTGGGGGAAAATCATTGGCATACTTTTTCTGCCCCCTTTCTCACCAATGCAATTTTCATATAATTTCTTCATATTAAGCCTGTGATTGACCTGTGTCCTTTAAAAGGATCAAGTTTATCAAGATTACTACCCTTTGGGATCCTCCCCAAACCAGTCGTTAACGCCTCCTGAGTTGACCTCTCTGTCTTGAATATAACTGGTCTGGTAGATCCCCTCAGAAGCCACTGTTTAGAATGGACCATTTTGGAAGGCATCTGAATGAGATAAAGACAAGTGTATAGCTGAGAGAGCATGTCTGTGGCCACCACAGACACGTTTAAACACGTGTTTGTTTGGAATAAATCTGTATATGTATAAGCTGGAACCCCATTAGCAATACAAGGTCCTTGTATATACAGGACCTTCAAAACGTTAATGGAAAATTCCCTTAGCTTTCAAGTCTAATTTCCACAGAAGCCCCCATGTATATGTAGAGAAGTATACAGTTACGGGTAAAAAACAGTGAATTCAATGATCATTACCTCTGGGGGACAGAAAAGGAGGATGCAATGGAGATGGGGTGGTTTTCCAAGTGCTTAAATTGTTTTGGTCATGTTTTATTTCTTAAACTGGGTGGCGAATACATGAATGTGTATCATTATATAACTGTATAATTAAAAATAAATTGTTTTTCCCACAAGGACTCAACTACTTTGCTCTAGGTGATTCTGAACTCTCTTGGAAGCAATAGTAAAAATATTATTTTACAGGTTGTCTTATTTAATGCAATAATGAAAAGTAAAGAATTATGTTGGAGAAATGTTTCATTTGCCATAATACTTTAAAGAATCTGAATCTAATTGCTTCCTGAACTGGTAATTTATTCTCAATAGCAATTTGAGAGACACAATAAGCTCACTGCAAGTTTTCCTGCACACCGACTTCCTTATAAATAAACAAATAGCTTCAACTAAAGTGGTTTCAGGGCTTCTCAGACACCGATGACATCATGGAAAAATAAAAGCATCTGTATGCTTTAACGAGCTCTGTAGATTCAATTATTATTTTCTGGGTATGCTAGACTGGAGAGTTTTCTAGAAGCTGGCACAGAAAATACATTTATATCAATCCTAACAGTTCATAATCCAAGTACTATGAAACATTCACTTCACAGAGCAAACAGACTGAGACATTTATTTGGATTTCTGGGCTTTGCTTACTTTACTTGATGAAAATAGACTAAATATGAACATAAAGAATGCACTAACTCACTGAGGCACATACTGTGTTGCTGTTAAATTTTTTGTTCCCTAATAGTTTAATAGACATAAAATTCACATATCGTCTACATCCACAGTGAAAGTCACTTTTAAAAAGAGTTGTATATACATCATCACAATCAGTTCTAGTGCATCGACCCCCTTTGGCATTATTAGCTCCCCAGTTCCTCTGAGTATTAAATTCCTAGACAATTTCTCACAACTGTCTTGTTAAACTGACATTTCAAGTACACGCATATAAACGGTTGATCTAAAAAGATGTCACAGGATCTTTATAGTATACATCTCATGTCAAGTAACTCTCCACAACAAATGTTTTAAAATACTCTTGCCTAGCTTTTATTTTTAAAAAGAGTATTTTACTAACTCAATGTACAAAGCTAGGAAATCAATCAAGAGCATAAGTATTCTAAATCAAAGGGCTAACTAAACAGAATCAAGGGCTAAAAGTAAACTTGAATCTAAAGAAATTTCACTCACTTTTACTCCCAAATTGCTTAAAGAATCCAAAGAGAGATCCTGGCTAAAGTCCACCTTCATTTTAGCTATGCTAACACATAGTGAGTTTGGCACCGTGGGCTGGAATCAACTAGAGGGAAACTAGCAACAACACAGGAAATGTAAAAACAACAACAAACGGGAATTTCCTAATAAAGAGAAATGCACTCTCCTGAAATGCACAATTAGAGGGAAGCAATGACTTAACAGGGTTTTTAATCCCAAACACACATTTCCTTGTCTACTTCTAAATCTCTCTGAACCCATCTGCCTTTTCTCTATGTGGACATAGAGTTTCTGGGCAAAAAGAGGAAAGCACGTGGAAGCGTTTCAACAGATGCCATCGAATTCCTCTCCAAGGCAGTAGGGTCTAAGAGAAGCTATTACCCAATTCCAACCAATACGTGGTATCACTAGATTTTATGACATTTGCCAAATTGATGGGTGAAATTCTAATTTGCATACTCTAGGTTTGCTTATTCATTGGCCATTTTTATTCATATTTCTAAGAGATACCATTCATATCCTTTGCATATTTATTATCTACTTGATCATACATCTACATGTCATTCATATATAAGGGCTCTTCACATGTTTTGGTTACGCATCTTTAGTCTGTTATATGTGATCCAATTATTTTCTTTTAATTTGTTACTTGGATTTTAATTTTATTCATGATACATTTCATTAACAGGTGTATTTCCCCCATAATGGGCATTAGTACTTCAATTTTAAGAAAGTGTAAGCTCTCACACTGAGATCCATCCCACTCACCCACAGATTTGTCTGCCATGCCGACATCTCTCGAAGTCCAGCGACAAAACCCACAGGCCAGGTAGTAGGCTTTCTTCGTGGTGGTCTTGGCCGGGTCATCTGGGAGCTGTGTAGAGATGCTCGTTGCTCGGGTGGAGAGGGTGTGCATGCAGCCGGGACAGTCAAAGCAGTTGGCGCATCTGCCAAGGCAAACAAAACCACTCACTCACCCATCAGCTATTTACCATGCACCTCCTACACCAGACACCAGCCCACCTGTTCAAATCCGAGAGAGGGAAAACATTAAGAGAGGAGTGGCTCTCAAGTATTAAAAAGTATTCCCAGGGGCTTCTTACCAACTTGGTTGTCAAAATGTCTAAAGTATTAATATATTACTTAATAATAATAAAAAGATTCAATGCTAAAACTCCAGAAGAATTGAGCCTGGTCCAACCCTACTCCACAGAGGAAATCCCTGTCAAGAGTCTGGGTTTTCCTATTCAAGACTTGCTTCATAAGGTACACAAAGATTTCAGAAGCCACGAGAAATGCCAGAGCTCACGCCTTCAGAGGTAGCTCAATCACATGATGGAAAACTAAGAGGCAACAAAACAATAAGCCTGGGCTTGGAAAACCACTGCTGGATGGCAGTGCCCAACAACTGAGACACCAGACGATGCCATCCACTGGAATGGGTCAGCAGTGATATACTTTCTCCTCGTGTGCTCAGTGCACATTTCCCCTCCAGCAATGTCTCTTCTCTAAACAACTGTGCCTCACTCTCCTGCCAATCCTAACTCTGCTCTAAAGTTATGTCCCATAATTCTTAGTATTCCTGCCAGGGATCCACTGAGAATTAAATGATACAGGACCTGTTTCTTATGGGAAAGACAAATCAGAGAGGCTCCTATCCAGAGGTGGTAGCAGTAATAATGGGGACCAGAAAGCCTTTCATTGCCAATGAAAAGTACAACAGTACTCAGTGGCAACAACCACACCCAGTGCCTGGATCCTGGTTTCTAATTCCATTCTCCAGGAAAAGAACCCAGGGCTCCTTGGGGAAACTGTTAATTCCAGGATTGAGGCAGTAAACAGAAAACAGGCCTGAAGTAAATGCAAAGTCAGAAGGCAAGGTGTGGCACAGGCAACACAACACACACGTCCATCCCCACTTACGACGACCAGGTTATGTCAAACGGAAGAGGAGGTAGCTACACAAGCTCCTAATGACCAAAGCAGAATAATCTGAACAAAAAATGCAGTACTGGATTATAACTATATCTATATGGATAAAAGAAAATGGATAAATAATGAACGAGGGGAGAAGCAAATCTTCCATGCAAAAATAAATAGATAAATAATGGATGTGGGAGTCAGTGTGGGCTGTGCATACCAACTACTTTCCAAAGAGTACTACCGTAAGGGAAGGGATGGGAAAAACAAAAAGAATGAATTTTAGACTGGAGACATCTGACACACACTAGCTCAATCAAAATAAGCATCAACAGTAATGTCACATTGATAGTCTGCATCTTGGATAGGATGTGACGACAGAAGGCACTTTACCTCTGTGGCCTCCCCTTATTCCAATGTATTCACGAGAAAAACACCAGACAAATTCTGCTCAAACAAATCCTGAGCCCAGTAAGTCCCTAAGGAGCACCCCGTCAAAAACAAGCAGAGTCGGAGACACTGCCATGGGCAAGAAGTGCCTAACGGACAGGGTGCCAAGTGTGCCTCACAGTGCTGGGCTGCTGTCGGAGGACCCTGCCATCGAAAGGGAAGAATGAGGGCAGATGGAGGCAAGCTGCAGAAAACAGGGACCCTCGCTAGTCATAATGTCTCCAATTGGTCTAAGACTTGTGACAAATACAAGATGGAAGCAGCAGGGGAAACTGGTGTGAGGTAAATAGGAACCGTTGGTCCAATCTGCAATAATTCCAATAAAAACAGTTCTAGAGCGAGAATAAGGATTTTAACAAGATCAAAGACACTATCTGACAAAAGTGATGCTAAAGAATGAAAAACAGAATTCTACGCATTCTTTAATTTACAATTATTAATTTTTTTTTTTTAGTTCAGGGACAGAGAAAAAGTGAATCTTAGTCTTACCTATGGAGCCCTGGTGCGTACTGGGCTACGTGCTGCTAAGCACAACAAGGTCAATAGTTGGAGCCTACCGGTCCTTTCTCAGGAGAAAGATGAGGCTATCTGCTCCAGTGAAGATTTAAAGTCTCAGAAATCCAAGGAGCAGTTCTACTCCGCCCTATGGGTCGCTATGAATCAGAATCCAATAGCAAATGGCCAGGCGTTTTTTCAGTTCGAATCTTACCTATTCTTTTTCAGTTTGGCCTCAGCAGATGGCATATTTTCTAAGCAACTGGGGCAATAATGGGAATCCACCTAGAAAGAAACAGAAAAAAGAAAAAAACAGGAGACAAACTCAATTTCGCTTTTGTGTATGTCTGTGCTCAATAATGACTTTCAGAAATAGATTAGACTGCAGCAGAAGATGAGGAAACCACTGTTTTCAGTTAAGGGTTTTACTCTCTAACCACCTTTTTTTTCCTACTCTGGATTTTCTGTATTTCCTTCCTAATTTTTCCTGCTCCCTTTTATCAGAGCCTTCCCTATTATATGTATTGAGTAGTTTATGTAATAAAGTTATAATTGAAAAATTCTTTAATAGTCTAGTAAGCAGATAAATAAAAAACTTTTAGAGCTTTGAATCAAATACCTTCCTATCTATTTAGCTTTATTCGAATGAGTGACTTGGTCATACTTAAATATTTTTTTCCCTAATTGAAAAAGAGATACATGTTCACTGTAGAAAATAAAATTAACATTTACAAAGGCAGCTATAGCCAACCAATTCAGATTATTTTAAAAATGAAACATTAAACAACTGAATGAGCAAGAGTGTCTTACTATAGGAGGTAAGTTAAAAAGTATTGCTACTCGTGTTCCAATTCATATATAAAAATGTGCTTAAACACGTTTCTCTGTCAATGGCTACAGACGAGCTGTCTCAGTCTTTGTCTCAATAAAATGCCTTCAAAAAGGGGGAGTGGGCAATTAAGACAGTGACTTCTGAGGGGTGCCGGTACAGTTGAAGTTGAGGCCAAAGTCGGTCAGAGGGTTCTGATGACTCTCGAAGGCCAAGAGACGACTACAGGGCCTTATTGTGAAGAAGTTGCAGAGAAACGCCCACCGAGCGGGCTGAGGACTTGGTCCTTCATGACCATCTCCTTCTTGGGGAGGAGCACGGGCTGTCCATTGAGAATCTCATGGGGAAACCTTACCCCATTCACCCGATAGCCCTGATCCTGCCCCTTCAAACTTCTTTTTGTTTCCCAAACTCAAGGAACAGGATTTGAGTCCTTTAAGCAAGCCCAAGCTGCTGTTCTGATGTGGTGGAACTCAACGAACACTGGTTACTCTGGGGGCTTGTTAGAGAGATGGTAACATCATCTACAGAAGTGTGCAGTCCAAGATGGCGGACATGCCAAGAAATAATAGCTTTACATTTTGATATTTGTTTCCTAGAAGTTGCTATGATTTTACAGCAATACCCTTTTACTTACCATGAAACTAAAAAGTCTGAATGTTAATTTAATAGTACTTAAGATACGGATAATTAATTACTTTCTTTAAACTAGGCAGGTGAATTGATAATGAGAATTCTAGTCACCTACAAATGGTTACTTTAATGTGACATAAACACTATGCTGAAACCAGTAACTTCTTTCATCATTTGCAATAATCTTTGTAAAGATTAAGTTGCTGCTCAAATCATGTGCTGGAACTTTATTCTATGAACATGAAATCGATCTCTTCTTGCCTCACTTCTAAACTCTGCTCAATCCCTTCAGGTGCACCTCCAGTTCCAGCCTTTCCATGAACACTTTCTGGGTGGCCCCAGCCCTCATGAGCGTCCTCCGTCCCAAACTTTGCTGGCCTCCACTTCACAGGGACACACCAGGCTGCGAATGATGCAGCCACGGACTGAAAGCAGCAGCTGACCAGAGCCTTAGGAATCATGGGGGCTAAACTCCCTAATGCCCACAACGGGAGAATCTGATCCAGTAAGTTCTGGGGGACGGAGCTGAGCAGGAAAGCATCGTAAACAGGAGGGTCCTGTGAAGATGCACAGCCTACCAAACACGTGATTTTTCTTGTGTCCTTCTTCACTAGCAATTTCTAGTGTGAGAGGGAGAAGTATGTGCATGTTACACCAGGGCGCATCAAGGAGTTGGTGGGGAAAACAGGATTGAAAAGTACTGAATTATCTTCCACGAAGTGTTTGAAGGACCTTTTACATGTGTTATACATACAGCAATAGCTAATACTATTGTAAACAGCATCAATTTCCCTGTGTTATGTCATTGCTCCCCCTGACTATTCTTAACATTGTGAAAAATATCCCCACTGAAATATAATAATAATGAATGAATGACTTGGTGCGCACATGCAGTTTTCACAGTTCAGGGATCGACGCTAAGTGCTGGAATCAGGTACTTAAGGTTCAAATCCTGAGGCTCCCCACCCCCATTCCCTAATGACCCGCTCTGCGTCTCTGGGGGCAAGCACTCCATCTGTGGCTCTCCCTGGAGAGCGGTTCCACAAAGGGTGTCCATCTCTCTCCTTTGCAGGAGGGTTGACAGGAGATTATGCACAGCAACACCAGCGTCCCCGTTGTTAGACCGCGAGGTACTCAACCGCAGGGCGCGGAGTCTGAGGTCTGGGTCTTAGACTTGGGGCGGGGCCTTCTCCATTCTGAACAATCCCGTCGCCAACCCCGCTCCTGTGACTGCGAGGGACCGCACTGCACCCTCTAGAGAAGCACCACCCATTTTAACACTCGGTGCTTCTTACACGACGGGCCCCACGGTGGGCGATTTTCACGTGGCTCGCCCCACCCCGACCTCCTGCCCACTGCAGGCTGGACTTCAGCCAGGAAGCCCAACAGGGAGCGTGCGGAGGTTCCGATTCTGGTCCAAGTCGGGGCGCGCCCGGAGACACGTGAATGTGCATGCTGGGACCCCGCGCCTCCCAAAGAAACCCGAGAAAGGTGGCTCGCTCCTCCAGGGCTCTGAACGACGCCCCCCCCACTTTTCTCCCCAAGCCCCCCAGGAGCCGGCCGGGGCGCCCGCCCCTCCCAATCAAGTGCGTCCAATCAGCGGGCGCCCTGGAACCGGAAGCTCCTCTCCGCCGCACCCGAGGCCGCCCGGCCGGCCGAAGGGCAAACGACGAGCATGTCAAACCGCGGGCCCCGCCGAGGGGCAGAAAGCACCGCCTGACAACACGCCGGGAAAACGAGGCCGGGCCTCCAAGCCGCAGGACGTGCCGCCGCTCGCGGGGACCCGGATGAACGCCCGGCCCGGCCCGGCCCCGGCCCCCTCAGGCCGCCCCAGTACCTCGTGCGACACGCATTCCAGCGAGCGCAGCTCTCGACAGTAGCGGCAGAAGTAGAGCTGTGAGAGCGGGGCCCGAACCTTCTTCTCCCCCTGCACCAGGTAGAGAACCCGCTCCGACTGCAGCAGGGACGCCATCTCCGAGAGGGAGGCGTCAACGACACGCCCTCCGCGTCACGTGAGCGACTCCCTCGCCGCTTTGCCGACGTCGACTTTGACGTACGGTTTCCCACTCGGAGGGACTGCGCCGGTGGAGAGGCGCGTGCGCGTGCGCGCGCGTGCGCAGTGGGCTTCTGATTGGTCGCCACTGCCTCCGGCCAGCCCCCAATGCATCTTAGAGAGCCAGCGGTTAGATGGAGGCAGCTGGCGTTTCATTTACTTATTTTTTAACATTAAGTTTTACTGTGTTAAAATACCAGTACCTATAACAACAATGTCCATGCTAACCGTTTTTAAGCGTACAATTAAGTGGTAATAATTACAGTCGCAGCGTTGTAGAACCATCACCACTTTGTCCGGAACTTATCACTCTAAACGGAAGCAGTGCCTATTAAACCATTCTTTTTTT